CCTCCTCCTCCTCCTCCCTCCTCCTCCTCCGCCTCCTCCTCCTCCTTTTCCTCCTCCTCCTTGGGAGCTTGGGGCCTTTTTAAGTTTTCCTTGACACCAGCTGGGCCGACCTTCCTCGCCTCCCTGATGGGGTTCCGGCCGTGGCAGGACCCTGGGCGCAGGGCTGGACCTAAACTGTGCTTTTGGTGATTTCGTGGGCCGTCTTCGTTTCGTCATCCTTCTGCGGTGGAGGCGGATGGAAGACAGCACGACGGAGAACGAAAGCACAAAACGAAGACGAAGAACACCGCTCAGGTTCAGCCCTGCTGCAGGTCTCCCAGACGGCCAAGCACGGGCAAACACGCACAAAGAGAGGCTGAGGTGTGCCAGCGTGGGCCCCGCGCCGCAGCTTCTCGCCTGCCGGGCGGTGCAAGCAATGTGGTGCAAGCTGCGCAGTGCAGGCCGACGCGCAGCCCCGGCTCCTTCGAGAAGAAGCAAGAAGCAGCGCAGAGCAGTGCCAACCAGCACCAGGCAATGCAGATCGATGCGACGCAGAGCAAGACAAGGCCAGGCAGAGCAGTGCAACGCAATGAACATCAAGCAACGCAAGGCAAATCAACGTAAAGCAATGCGACGAGGCGGCCACGGGGCGGCGACGGCGACCACAAGGCGGCGGCCCCGACGCGCAGGCCCAGATGACGGGCGGCGCCGGGGCAGCGACGGCGACCGCATAGCCGCCAGACCGACGCGCAGGCCCAGCTCCTCGTTAAACACGTAAGAACCCCTGAGTGCAAGCACTGCTAGGAAACCTTAGACCGTCGACCCTCAGCTTCCTGGTAGGGTGTCCACCCAGCCACGACGCCAGACCGCCCCGACATCAGTGACCCGGCGTGCCGGGTCGTGCTGGCAGACTTCGGCGCGGCGTGCCGGCTGGAGAGTCACGGCGAGCGGCTGAGCGCTCTGGTGGGCACCAAGAGGTTCGCCCCACCAGAGTTCTTCGACAGGAACTACGGCACCAAGGTCATCGCCGCCGCCGCCGTAGCCGCCGTGGCCGCCGCCGTAGCCGCCGCCGCCGTGGCTGCCACAGCCGTGGCTGCCGCAGCCGTGGCCGCCGCAGCCGTGGCCGCCGCCGCCGCCGCCATGGCCGCCGCAGCCGCCAAGGCCTTTGGCGATCCCGGAGTGCGAAGGAGGAGGAGGAGGAGGAGGAGGAGGAGGAGGAGGAACAGCAGCAGAGGAAGAAAAGGAGAATTCGGCTTGGTTCCAAGGTGTTTCGAGTCGATTCCATGACGAGGTTGTGAGCCTACTTTGTGTTCCCTTCCTCCTTCCTTTCTGTTTTGTCTCGTCTCCCGCCTCGAGATTGGCGGCTGGTGTAGTGGTGAAGTGCTGCATCCATCAGCGGTGCGTGACACGTCACCTCTTTGCTATTGCGGCTGGCTGCGTTGGAGCGTTCTGCTGGTTTCAGCGGCCTTCGCCGACGCCCGCCGCCCGTTCGTGCTGTGCATGCAATGGCGAAAGTGGCCCCGATCAAGGGGGAGTGCGCCACCTGCCTCTGCACGGTGATCGGTGACGGTGGACAGACTCTGTCCGCCGCCAGGCTGTGCCCAGGAGGAGGAGGAGGAGGAGGAGGAGGAGGAGGAGGAGGAGGAGGAGGAGGATGGGGAGGAAGAAGAGGAGGGGGAGGAAGAGGAGGAGCAGGGGGAGGGGGAGGAGGGTGAGGGAGCGGGCGGGGGGGGGGGGAGGGGAGGAGTCTCAGGTGGACGTGTGGGCACTGGGCGTCGTGGTGTACGGCCTGGCCACGGGGTCCTTCCCGTTCCACGGCGAGGCGGAGATCCGCAGCAAGGGCCTCTGCATCCGCGGGCCTCGACAAAAGTGACCCTGGCTCACCCTGGCTCTCCCCAGACATGATCGCGTCGTAAAAAATTCAGGACGGATGTTTTCCGCTATTTTAAGCCTCCAGAGGGCCTCGCCAGGCCCTGGGACCGTCAACAAAACGACTCAGGATGAAAAACCGGCCCCAGGCAAAGGGTCTGGACTTCCGGGGACGCTGTCCTGAAAAAATCAGGACGTCGCATGTCTGGGTCCTCCTCGTCCCTCTTTGGCCCTCTGGGGGCCTCCCTTGCCTCCGCGGCGTGGCTCGGCTCTCGGGCCGGGAGCGACCACTGGCAGGGACCTGGGACCGACTCGGAGCAGGTGTTCTGACGCGGACCCCAGGTCCCAGGCCGACTCACTGCGGCCAGGAGCGAACAAGGACCGGAGTCACTGAGTCACCAGCCTGGAACAGATCCCTATCCCTATGATTGGCATCGCCTCATCTCGATGCCGATCTTAGGTATTCCCTCCGTTTCTGAGGGCGCATCCCCAAGATGTTCGTCGACTTTGGGCGTGTTAATCTCAGGGGTAGGGATACGCTCGAGGCTGGTTGCAGAGGACCGCGCTACGTTGCCCATGCATCGGCGATGTGGCGCGCGGTCCCGGGCCGGATCTTCTCCATTCCGATGCGTCGGCGATGCAGCGGCGATGCGGCATGGTCCGGCGATGTGGCGCGCGGTCCCGGGCCGGATCTTCTCCATTCCGATGCGTCGGCGATGCAGCGGCGATGCGGCATGGTCCTCCGACTCGGAGGGAGGAGGAGCGATGCCAACACCAACAGGGGGCCCATCTCCAGCGAGGCGGCCCACGATGCCCCCCCGAGCGAGAGGCCGGGGACGTCTCGAGCGAGAGAGGGGGGGACCACACCACCCGGTGGACCCCCCTTGCCTCCGCGCACCTCCGCGCACCCTGTCGGTGTTGGTGCCGCCCTTCCTCCCTCTTCCCACCGACGCCATCTCCCCAGACATGCGACGTCCTGATTTGTTCAGGACGGCGTCCCCGGAAGTCCAGACCCTTTCCCTGGGGCCGGTTTTTCATCCTGAGTCGTTTTTTGACGGTCCCAGGGCCCGGCGAGGCCCTCTGGAGGCCTAAAATAGCGAAAAGCCTCCGTCCTGAATTTTTTACGACGCGATCCTGTCTGGGTCTTCTGGCTCCGCTTCGGGGGCGGCCTCTCCACAGGGGCCCCCCCCGGGGCTGCCCGGCAGACCGCCCGGAGGCCGCGCGGAGGGCCCCCGGGGCGGAGCCCCAGAGAGGAGGGCGCCCGAGGCTGCTCCAGCACGGCCCGGGGCCGCGAGAGGCCCGACCTCCTGGAGAAGTGGCCCCAGACAGGATCGCGTCGTCAAAAATTCAGGACGGAGGCTTTTCGCTACTTTAGGCCTCCAGGGGCCCTCGCCGGGCCCTGGGACCGTCAAAAAACGACTCAGGATGAAAAACCGGCCCCAGGGAAAGGGTCTGGACTTCTGGGGACGCCGTCCTGAAAAAATCAGGACGTCGCATGTCTGGGGCCACGTCGTGCAGGATCGCGACGGGGGCCCCAGAGGTCCAGCGCACTGAATTGCAAAGTCGAGGCGGAGGTTTTTTTGTGTGCCATGTTCCGCCCTCGGTGGCCTTCGCCGGGCCTCGGGACCGTCCAAAAACGACTCAGGATGAAAAACTGGCTTCGGCCACAGCTTTCGACAGCAGGCGTCCAGATGCTTGCCACGAGGTGTGAAGGCGCCCCGTGATGCTTCAGACAGCTCTCGTGCCGCCGGCGATGCGATGCGATGAAAAACTGGCCCCGGGGAAAGGGTCGGGACTTCCCGGGACCCCGCATGGAAAAAATCACGACGTCGGACCTCTGGGGGGGGAGGGAGGGAGGGAGGGAGGGAGGGAGGGAGGGAGGGAGGGAGGGAGGGAGGAGGAGGAGGGAGGGAGGGAGGGAGGGAGGGAGGGAGGAGGAGGAGGAGGAGGAGGAGGAGTAATAGGAATAGGAATAGGAACCACTGGCGATGCCAATCCATACAATGCTACCCTCGGCCTCGCTGGGCCAATTCGGCCTTGCTGAGGACCTTGGGGGGGAGCCCTTCACGAATTCTTCTGAGGTGCTCACGGCCCGTTGCTGACAACTTGTTCGTACAAGGCTTAGCAAGCGAACGGACTTGCTTGTCAGCAATGGCCCCACACTTCCCACAGAACCAACAATTCAGAGAGGCGTGCACATTGAGGTGGTGAGAAGGATGCAGCCAGCCCCCCCCGACGTGGATCCGTCCTCCGACTGGAGGAGAGTAAATCAGACCATTCGCATTCACTAAGCTGTGGCACTCCGAGGCGTGCCATTCCTTTAAAGTGTCCAAGGACGCAGAGCCGTGGCACCTCAAGCATCTCTTTCGGCAGTCGGACAGCCGATGTCGAGACAAGAGAGCAGCAACAGCAGCAGCAGAGGGGGGCGGCGGGGGGGGGGGAGGCGGAGGGCCTCCACGCCTTTTTCTTTCACCACTCCGCTCCAGCTGTTTTTCCTTAGCCAGTGCATCCACAGTCGCACGAAGGAGGCGGAGGCGCACCAAACGTGCGCGCCGCTCGTGCAGCATCAGGCGGTAACGCTGGTCCTCGGGCACGCGGGCCTGTGCAGCAGCCAGGCCCGCAAGCTCGTCCACAACAGCGTTGCCAAGAATCAACGTACGTATTCCTTGCCCGTCGGCCACCTGTGTGGCCGTCATATGAGAATGTGTGAAGAGGACTGACACATGATGAAACGGTCTGTGGGCCATGAGGTCACCGATGGCCGCCCACAGGTCAGCGTCAGCACCTCTTGGCTGGCGAAACCGTTGTTCGTACCAACCTGTGACTACATCTGCAAAGTCAGTGACAAAGGTGAGGAACTGCGTGGTGGCCCAGAGGGCCAAATACAAACACTTTAGTTCGCCTCTGGCTACGACCTGCCGCGTGCCGCTGAGTGGCCCAAAGATCGAGCCACGCGGAACGATGGCGGGCTGCAGGCGGGCAACAAACAAAAAAATTACCTCGCACAGCAGGCGGGCAAAACACGTGATAGCCAGGCCCACCCGTCGGAGCCTGGGACTGCGGCTGTCGGGCCCTCCGCTCGCGTCGCCAAAGATCAGCACAGGGTCGGAAGGCGACCCTGGGCCAAACAGTCCTGGCTCCAGGTGTGGGGCGCCAGTGAACTGCCAGGCGTCCTCTGCAGGCGGTGGGCTCACTTCCGTCCAGGGGGCAGGTAAAAGTCCTCGAAGCCAGAAGGCCTCAGCGGTGTTGCACTGCGTGACGGCCTGCGTGCACAGGTCATCGGAGTCGGTGTACGGCTTGGCGTCCGCGTTGCACGAGCACTGCCAGTACCTGTGCAGAGGGGTGTCCACCTCGGTGCCGCAGCGGTCGCACTTGTCGGTGCCCGTGTAGTTCTTGAGCTCCTGCTTCTTCCGTTCGTTGTTCCAGATGCCGCCTGACGCCACTAGCACCATGATCTCGCACAACCTTTTGCCGTTGGGGACCTGCGCCAGGTGCTTGAGTAGCTGGATGTATGAGGTGTTGTCGACGCCCAGCTCCAGGCCCCCGCCGCAGAAATGACGTGCTGCCTGGGTCCAGAGCTGAGCTTCACAGAACTTACGAATATCGCTAGCAGGTGATCGTGTCTATCCACATGCGCGTTGCCTGTGTAGATGCTGTCTGGAAACTGCCACTCCTCGCTGCTGTCGGGGCCTGTCTGGTAGGACCACGTGGACGGATCATGTGGGGTCCAGCCAAGCCTGAGCAGCGTGTGTATGATGGCCCCCGTCGGGCCTCGGATCTGCCGTACCTGTGCTGGGACGGGTACAGCCTGCATCTGCTTTAAAATGATCGGCCACGCCTTGCGAACACCTGCTCGGATATCTGGGCAATCCCTCCAGATCTTGAGCCAAGTGTCCACCGTCTGCACGGGGTAAAGCACTGCTGGGTCAGCGTCAGGGGCCCGCAGGGCCAGGACCGTGGTAAGGCATCGGCCGCGCGCCGATGAGGCGCATGTCTGAGCCAAGCGTCGTCTGCACCTGGTCAACTGCTCGCCGAAGAGCCCGTGGACCTGGTGGCCGTAGACGCCCGCGGGGAGCCCTCCCTGGCGTTGGAGCTTGGTCATGGCGCTGTACTGGCGGGTGGCTCTGGTGAACCTGCGGATCTTGGTGCTCATGAGGCGATGCTTCGCTTCACGCTGCACCCTGGTGGCCCTCACCCTCCTGCCGCACCCGAAATCGATGCCGAGGTAGGTGGCTTGGGACACTGGCCGAATCGTAAATCCAGCACGTCGGACTAAGCGGGCAACAGCACGCGCGTCACTCATGAGGCTGCAGACCACGACCGATTTGTCCGCAACCTTGAGCTTCCTCGCCTGCAGCTCACGGCACGTGGTGATGATGCCACTGGCAAGCTCCAGGCGCACCGCCTTGCTGGAACCCTTGAATGTCTCCGAGACGTCGTCGACCCATAGCCTCGCCCCCATTCTCGGATGGGCTGTGGTGACCGTGACCATGACGTGGTGGGTCATCATCTTGGCGAAGCGGGTCCCCGAACGGAGACCCTGCACTACGCTGAGCTGCGGGTCGAACATCTCGGACACAGCATTGTCCTGCTCCAGACAACGGGGAGCAGCGCACTGTAACAATTCCAAATAAAGGATAACAAGAGGAAAATCTAGCCGCAAAGCTGCGGCGACTAGGATGTCCCACGGGATGCTGTCGTAGAACGTGGCGATGTCGAGCATCCCGTGGCCGTACTTGATGCCCATGGCATGGGCAAGCTCCTCGTCCAGCGCCCTCAGGAAGGCCTCCTGAAGGCATGAGTTGCCTGGCAGGGCGGCGTCCCAGTGGCGAGCACTCTCGGCCGACCAGGTCTGGACTGTGGGTTCGCGCATCAATGACCACAGCCGTCCGAGCATCGATACTAGCCCGATGGCTCGGTCGCCGGCCGTCTTCTTGGGAGTGAGCTTCCCAATGACGGCCAACGTCTGCGCTGGCCACGCCAGTGTGGCTTCCACCGCCTCCAGGATGAGTAGCAGCTCCGCCTGGCCCTCCATGGGAAGCCTCTGGTAGTCGACGGGGGTGACCATGTCGATGCCCATGCCTGCCTTGGCCTTCATACGTGAGGCCGCCTTGCCGATGTCGGCCACGTGCAGCGGCGGCAAGGGGTCGTCGCTGGCACGGAGCCTGATCTGCCTGAAGAGTTCGCGCACATCCTGCAACTTGGGCGCCGTCGGGGCCCAGAGCTGCTGGTACTTCTTCGCCTTCGCGTCCATGAGGTCCTTGGGGTGGTAGACCAGCTGCTGGCCGACCACAATCTCCACTGGCGGGAGAGGCCCCTTCTTCAGAGACTTGTGGAGGATGCCGTTGGCCTCAGGCTCCACCACCCACGAGCGGAAGTCATGGATGGCCGCCAAAACGGCCAACCTCTGCGCTCGCTGCATGACCTTCTTCGCTGCGTGAACGTAGGAGTCCAGCACAGCGGGGTTGATCTGACACTTACCCTCAAGGATTCTGATCCACTCGTGCCACGGAGGGTCGAGACCAGGGCGTAGCGCAGTGTGAGCTCCGTCTGGCCTGTCCACCGCCGCCTTCTGCGCCGCGACCTGGTACAGCTCCAGCTGCTGGTGGCCATTGCTGCGCAGGCGATGGCGGGCGATGGCAGCGACGATGGTGTGGACCTGCGTCCACCACTGCGCGCGCTGATCACGTAGGTGGACCTGTCTGCGGTGGGCCGCTTGCCTGACAGGGCCCTCCACCAGCCTCGCGCCGTGCGCACGCCGTGTGCGAGGGAGGTCCAGGCCATGGTGTCTGGTGATGCTAAGCTCCACCGTGGAGATCCAAGCTGCATACATTCCAGAAACTACAGTAGAGCGGGGGGCCTCAAGCCGAAATGCAACGGACTTGAGGAGGGACGGAGAAAGAGAATGAATACAGTCCTGCCCCGAAGCAAATCCGACCTCACGCCTGCTCTCAACCCAAAGCTCGCTGGGGATCTGAAACGCAGCCGACGGCGAGGGGTCGCTTTCAGGGGCCTGTAACGGACTGGGCTCAGGGCCCGAAAACTGAAAAGCAGACCGGTTTAAATCGGGATTTAAATCTTCCCCTGAACTCGGTGGGGGGGGCTGGCCCGAATTGGGAGGGGAACTACACTGAACTGGTACGTGTCCAGACGCATGTTGTTTCTCCTGACTCAGAGCAGCACTACCACTACCCTCCGAGCTTGGGTCGGGAAGGTTGGGGTGACAGGGAGTGTCGAGGGCATTACTCAACCCCCTGTCGGAACAGAAATTGAGCTGGTCAGCCCACGGGTCGTCCTCTTCGTCGGGCCAACAATCTTGAGATTCATCGGCCTCATCGGGAGGGGCCTGACCTACACCCTCCTCCGACGACGACGGGACCCCAGGGCTTCGAAAACAATCACCAAACAGCTCAGTAAACCTAGCTTTACGCGCCTCCAGGGCCTCCTGCTGGGCTACTCCCTGGCGGGCCCTGGACATACTGGACTTAGAACCAAAAGTGGGCTCCTTGCTGGGCCTCGGGGCTTGAGGAAGCCTGGGGGAGACCACGAGGGAGCGGGTGAGAAGCTGGAGCCCAGAGCTCCGAAACTCTAAGGCGAGACCCTGATGTGGCTTCCAAGGGACCGCACGCACAGCACAGATGGTTTTGAGAAACGGCGTGGCCTCGGGGCTGCACAGAACATAGTCGAGCACCTTGTCGCGCCCCTGTGGGTTGGCGCAGGTGCCCTCGGGGCCAGCTGTACGAATGACTCCATGCACATTCTGAACAAAACGGCTGGCTGCTAAGATGTCGGGCTCCATATTGAAGTCGCCCACGACCACCCATGGGAGCCTGATGGCCTTCAAGAGGCCTCCGAGCCGTTGGAACCTGACCTTGTTGTGGCCGTTCATCTGGATGCACGGCAAGGCGTAGAGCACCACCACGACGATGGAGTACCCTGCCATGTGCAGCACCATTGGAAGAAACCCATCGAGGCTAGCCTGGCCAGCCTCGCGCAGGTGGCCAGCAGCAACCTTGGCCTCAGGCAAGACGTGGGCCTGGAGGTGCTGCTGCGCCATGAAAAACTCGCCGCCTTCATTGGCCCGCTCCTCATGCTCCGCTGCCACAGATTTGGATGAGGGGCGGGCCGCATTGTGATGAAGCCGAAGGTGCGCCCCCCTCGCCTTCTTGTCCCACTCCCTGAGCTCCGACTCGGTGTGTATGTGAGTCTCTGCCCAGGCCCAGTACTCGTACTTGCAATAATTTAATTGGAGGTATTGCCACACCTTGGGAGTGAAGGCGGTGACATTAGCGTAGAACAATGTCGTCGTGCCCTCGGTGTGTACTTGTTGGTCCCGCGATAGTCAAGAGGAGGCCTCCGAGCCCTTCCCCTTGGCCTTGGCCTTGGCTGCCGCCGCCTCGGCCTTGGCCGTGAACTTGGCCTCCGACAACTTCTTGGCCTCCGACTCGATCTTCTCCGCGGCCGCCTGGGAGGCCTCAGCGTCCTGGGCCGTGGCCGTGGGCGCCGTGTCAGTCGGCGCGCTCGCCCCGACCTCTGGCTTGGCCTCCTCCTCTGCCGCTGCGGCTTGCCCGTCGTCGCCCTTCCTCTTCTTCCTCCTGAGGCGATCAGTGATGTCATTCTGCATCTTCCTGGCGTTGTCGAGCCAGGCCTTGATCTCGGCTTCCTTGCCCGTCAGGTCCGTCTTGACGCCCTTGAGCTGCTCGTGGAGCGTGTCCAACGCTCGGCGCTCTTCGGGCGTGCACTCCATCTCGTCCAACGAGTTGAAGAAGCCCTCGTCCCACTCGACCTTGAACATGGCTGTCGCGGACGGCTCTGCTGTGGGCGGGCCCACGCCCTCCGCCTTGGCGACGGCGTGGGCGGCGGCCTTCTTGGCCGCAGCCGCCTGCGCCAAGGCCACAGCAGCCCTGCCCTCCTTGGCCTCGGCGGCCTCGAGGCTCTGCCTCAAGCGGAGCACGTTGTCCACGCACTGGCTGTGGTGGTGCTCCGCGTTCTTCCAGGCCCCGTCAGCCTTGCGGAGCACCTCGGCTGGGGACACCGCTGCCTCGGACTCGGCCTTGGCCTGGGTGCTGATCTTCTCGATCTGCTTCTTGAGCGCCTCCTGCAGTGCCGCGTCCTCGGTGGCCTGGGCCGCCTGCTGGAGCAGCTCTGTCACGGAGGTGCCTGCCGTGCCCTTCGCTGGCGAGCCCTTGGCTGCCCCGCCACGCCACGAGCCTCTCGGAGAGTGGCTGCGCTGGCGGCCTCTCTGTGGGGCGGCGGCGGGGGACGGGGTCGCATCGGGCTGCACTTCATCCTCCCAATGTACTCGACGTCCTGCTGGCTTGAATAGCGTGATCGACGCACCACATCCTGAGCAAGCGTGCCCCTGCTTGACAATGATGGAGTTCCACTCACATCGGCGGCACTGATCACATCTGGTCCACAACTGTGTCATGGCGGAATCTGGTCTCGGTGTTGGTCACAAACCTTGGGCTGTGGCGTGGCCCTCGGAATGGGTCCCTCAAGCGCTTGAGCCAAAATGGCTACGGAGGAGGAGGAGGAGGAGGAGGAGGAGGAGGAGGAGGCGGAGGAGGAGGGCGGGCCAGGGGCACTCGAGCGTCGGCGCCCGGCGTCCCCGAAGCAGTCTACCCCCCCGTGGCGGACTTCGTCGGCAGCCTGCTGACGAAGGACGAGGCCGCGAGGCCGAGCAGCGACCAGGCGATGGCCCACCCGTACCTGAGCCCTGGGGCCTGCCCGGAGCTGCCGGCGCCGGTGGGCGCACGCGCGGGAGGGCAGCAGGCGTTCGCGTTCGAGGCCGTGCGCGACGAGGACTCGAGACGTTAGCAGCCGAGGAGAGCGAGAGGCAACGGTGGCTGGCCGTCGAGGGGGCCCCCTGCGTCGCCACGGCTGCACGCGGCTCGGGGGCAGGGGGCCTCCTCCTCCTCCCTCCTCCTCCCCCCCTCCTCCTCCTCCACCTCCACCTCCTCCTCCTCCTCCTTCCCTCCACCCTCCTCCTCCTCCGGACCGGAAGTGCATGCGTAGCACCGAGAGAGCGAGAGGCAACGGTAGCTGGCCTCCGGGGGGGCCCTGCGTTCGCCACGCTGCCCGCGCTCGGGGCAGGGGGGCCTCTCCGACTGATGCCCTCCTCCTCCTCCTCCTCCCTCACACCTCCTCCCCTCCTCCTCCTCCTCTCCACCTACCTCCTCCTCCTCCTCCTCCTCCTCCTCCTCCTCCTCACTCCTTCCTCCTCCTCCTCCTCCTCTTATCCCTCCCTCCACCTCCTCCTCCTTCCTCCTCCTCATCCTCACTCCTCCTCCCCCTCCTCCTCCTCCTCCTCCTCCTACTCCTCCACCTCCACCTCCTCCTCCTCCTCCTCCTCCTCCTCCTCCTCATCTCCTCCTCCTCGCTCCTCCTCTCCTCCTTCCTCTCCTCCTCGTCCCTCACCCCCCCTCCTCCTCCTCCCTCTACCTCCTCCTCCCTCCTCCTCCTCCTCCACCTCCCTCCTCCCTTACCTCCTCCTCCACCTCCTCCTCCACACCTCCTCCTCCTCCTCCTCCGCCTCCTCCTCCTCCTCCTCCTCCTCCTCCGCCACCTCCGCCAGTAGTGACCGCCACGATAGTCGCCAAGAAACCCCGTCCCAAGTCCGTGCCCCCCGAGTCCCGGGCTTGCCCGGAGGCGCGGGCGAGCTGAGGCGACGGCAGCCGGCCTTCGGGTGCCCCCTCGCCGCCACGGCTGGGCGCCGCTCGGACCACCTTTGCGTTTGGGCCCCGGGAGGGGTTCGAGCACCAATTTCGAGCTGTCCTTGAGGGAGGAGGGGGGGGGAGGAGGGAGGGAGGAGAGGGGGAGGAGGGAGAGAGGAGGAGGGAGGGATGAGGAGGCAGGGAGGGAGGGAGGGAGGAGGGCGAGCTGAGACGGCGGTGGCTGGCCCTCGCGGTGGACTCCTCGCCGCCGCGGCTGGGCGCAGCTCGGAAGATTGGGAACTGGTGCGGTTTTTGTTTGCTCCCTGGGAGGGCTCTGGGGGCCGACTATCATCAGGACATCGTCGCCGCCACGGGGTTTCCATTATCAGGACATCGGGCTTGCCAGCAAAGTTTTGTAAGTGACGGAGTTGCACATATTTGACTTGTGGCCGCCCGCAGGCGTGCGCCTTTCAGCGCACGGGGCGGCGGATCCCTGGACCTTTGTAGAGCTAACGGTGCAACGGACCGTACGAGACCAGAGGTTTTATGATTATTGAATATATGTTTTGATTTTTTCCCGGAAAGGGCTCGAGCCCAGGGTTCTCTTTTAGAGGTTTACCCCCGGATTCGACGGCTGTAGGGCCGGCGAAATTATTCTGCGATAAATTACGTGCGGGAGTAGGGCCGGCGGAATTATTTTTGAGGATGTCCCTAGCGAAACGCTTGTTTTTCAGAATTTGTTGAGGATGTCTCGAGCGAAACGCTGGTTTTGCAGAGTTGGGGATGTCTCAAGCGAAACGCTTGTTTTCAGAATTTGTTGAGGATGTCTCGAGCGAAACGCTGGTTTTGCAGAGCTGACCGCGACGCGGAAAAGTGCCCCGTGCGCAGGAATTCCGAGGATGTCTCGCGCGTGCATGGATTTCGAGGATGTCTCGACTAATTCGTTTGTTTTGCCCGGATTTTTTTTTGATTTTGACATAATGTCTGTAGCGAAACGCTTGTTGTTTCAATATTTGTTGAGGATGTCTCGAGCGAAACGCTGGTTTTGCAAAATTGGGGGATGTCTCGAGCGGGGGCCTCGTGGGGGGCTTTGTGGGGTGCCAGAATTCAGAGGATGTCTCAGGCGAAATGATTGTTTTCACGTCCCGCCCGCAGGAATTCCGAGGAGGTCTCGCGCGTGCCGCGTCCCGCGCGCAGGAATTCTGAGGATGTTGGCAGGATGTCTCGAGCGAAACGCTTGTCCCCAGCACGTTCCGTAGCGCGTCCCCTTGGCAGGTCCCGCGGTTCGTCCCCATGGCACGTCCCAATGCACCGATCGCTTGGCTGGTCCCTTGGGACGTTCCGCGTCGCGTCCTCCTGGCATGCCCCCCTGTCCATTAGCTCTGGGGCAGCTACTATGTGTTCAGGCAGCTCGAGCTTAAGATCCAGATCAGTTCGGTCAGGACTCGGATGCAAAGGAGGACTCGATCCACGAGGCTTTAGAGCACAATCGCGCCATGGCACATCGCAATTCAGCACGGCGCAGCACAGCACAGCCCTCGGCACGGTACATCAAGATCGATACACTCAGCATTGCAACTTGGCACGTCCCTTGGCACGTTCCGTGGGGCGTCCCTTGGCGAATCCACCTGGAACGTCGCGCGGCGCGTCCCCTGGCACATCCCGTGGCACATCCATTGGCACGTTCCGTAGCGCGTCCCCTTGGCACGTCCCGCGGTGCGTCCCCATGGCACGTCCCCTGGCACGTCGCCTGACGCGTCCCTTGGAACTTTCGGCGGCGCGTCTTCCTAGCATGCCCCCCCGTGAATTAGCTCTTGGGCAGCTACTATGTGCTCAGGCAGCTCGAGCTTAAGATCCAGATCAATTCGGTCAGGACTCGGATGCAAAGGAGGACTCGATCCACAACGCTATAGTATTATACTATGGGAGCAAGAAACCGGCAGCACATCGCAATTCAAGCACGGTGCAGCACAGCACAAGCCCTCCAGGGTAAGCAAGATCGATACACTCAGCTTTGCATTTGCCCGTCACCCAATCATTCTTTGAAAAACGCTGCATGTTTACGGTCCTAATACCGTCTTCGCATCGGGGCCGATCATTTTAGGCGAAAGGGCGTGGGCCCAGGTTCATCTCTAGTTGGAAAACCTCCCCGTGCCTTCAACTGAGTGGCCTGCGGAATTCTATCGCGATGAATATCGAAGTCAAGGTGGGCTGGCGGATTAAAATTTGAGGATGTCTCAGGCGAAACGCTTGTTTTTGAAATCCCGATCGATAAATCACAGGGTGCGGGCCACTCTTTCGTGTGTTGAGGATGCCTCGAGCGAAACGCTTGCTCCGCAGAGTTACCGAGGATGTCTCGAGCGAATCGCTTGTTTTGTAGAACTTGAGGGATCTGGGCGCCCCAGAGATTTGCTTTCTCCAGGTGCACGAACCCGTGTGTTTTTACGTATGTGCCTGTAGATTTGCCCTCCAGCACGACCACACCCCAGCACGACCACCCCCCAGCACGACCACACCCCAGCACGACCACTCCCCAGCACGACCACACCGCCTTGGTCGAGTGGTTGCCTGTCGTCGTGGAATGTTTCGTGGGGTGTCTCGTGGACTGTTTCGCGGGGTGTCTCGTGGAATGTTTCCAGGAAAACGTTGAAAACGGTCGCCCGTGTCTCGTGGAATGTTTCGCGGGGTGTCTCGTGGAAGTGCCCGTCGCCCAATACGGTGTCGTGAAAACGTTTCCATGCATGCGGTTCTGTATCCCTTTCCGGGTTCGTGGGCCCATCATGCTATATGAAGGACACATCTGGGGACCGACTTTGCGCTGCCGTCGTCTCAACCCGCCCTGCTCCGAGAGCAGACGGCACAGGCAGAGGCTTTCGGAGGTCCGCGCGGTCCTCCTGCTCCTCCTCCTCCTCCTCCTGCTCCTCCTCCTCCTCCTCCCCCCCCCCTTATTTCCCCCCCCCCCTTTCCTCCCTCCCCCGCCTCCCTCCTCCTCCCCTCCTCCTCCTCCTCCTTCCTCCTCCGCCTCCTCCTCCTCCTCCACCTCCTCCTCCCACTCCTCCTCCTCCTCCCTCCTCCTCCCTCCTCCTCCTCCTCCACCTCCTCCTCCTCCTCCTCCTCCTCCTCCTCCTCCTCCTCCTCCTCCTCCTCCTCCTCCTCCTGTTGTGGACGGCATAAGCGTAAGCTTTCGGAGGTCCGCGCGGACATCTTGGATCGGCGCTGGCCCTCCCTGCCTGGCCCGGCGCTGCCCGCGCAGAGCTCCGGAAGTGCATGTTCATGTTATTGTGTCTTCGGTCGTCCACTCACTCGAGTGACCCTTCGCAGGAGGGCGACCTTCGGTGGGGGTCCACTGGGGTCCGTCCGATCGCTGAGTGCGATGCGACGGCGGCGGCCTGCGCCCTTGGATTTGGCCCACCCCGCGGCCCGCGGACCCCTGAAGCCGCGCACCAGAAGTCACTCTTGCCTGGGGTCGCTCTTGCGTGTGCCCTGAGATCCGACATGGCGAAAAACATTACCACGCCGCGAAAAAGCCACGACCAGAGCCCCGGACCCCATCTTTCTGCTGCATTCTAATCGCTGGAGCGATCTGCGACGGCTCCGGGGCCCGAAGCCCAGCGAGAGCGCCCGGTGTACCAACGGTGCACCGCCCAGATCTCAATCTCAGCGTCTTGCGTGCAGCCGGGAGGACACGAGCTGGTCTCGCGGGCTCAGCCCCAGCGCGGAGCAGCGGCTCCCTGGCTGCGGCGGCAGCGCGGCCTGCAGCAGGGCCAGCACGGCCGAGTCGGTCGGCTGGGTGGGCGGCGGCCCGGAGGGCTCCTGCGGCGCCGCCCGGCGATCGCCGAGAGCCTCCACTGCGCAGTTCCCGGCGAAGCCTCCCCCCGAGTCGGGCGTCCGGGCCAGGGACGTGCTGCTCTTCCTGGGGTGGCTCTGCTGCTCGTAGGCACGAGGTCTCTGCCCCACCCCCTCTCCCGGGGGCCACGTCAGGGCGGGGGGGGGGGGCATGGGCTCAGGGGGAGATGATCTGCATCGGCCCCCAATTTGCTCCTTTGTCGCCGACAGGGGCCCCATATAGCCCGCCCCGCCCGGCACCATGCGCACTCGCCATCGGGGGCTTGTCGCCGATTTGTCGGCGATGTGCCGCTGATTCCGAGGAGGAGGAGGAGGAGGAGGAGGAGGAGGAGGAGGAGGAGGAGGCGGGTCGACGTTCGCACCCCTGAGCCAGTCCCTCCCCCCCTGCTGTTCCTTCTCGCTCTCGGCGGCTCCGAGCGCGCTGTCGGGCGGGCGAGGGCGAAGGCGTGCACGCCAAGGGCGTGCACCCGCCACTGGACTGCACTCGCTCGGGAATTCGAGCTGCATCTGTCGGCGGCGTGCTCAGAGGGGAAGGTGTAGAGGTGGCAGGCCTCCTCAGGAGGCTCGGCAGGCCTCCAGCCTTCCGAGCATCCAGGGCGTAGGACACGCCCCTGCCCCCGTTTCTGAGGCGCTGTGCGCTGAACCTCCTGAGGGCTGCCAGGGCAGGCCCTGCGTATCGCGCGTGCCGCGCGGCGTCCTGGCGGCCCCCTGACCTGTGGGAGCTCCCAGGAGGTTGGCTGACCACGCGCGTAACCCAGGGTATAGGGGCGCTTTTCCCGGAGAGGGCTTCAGCCCAGGGTTCTCTTTTAGTTTGTTTCCCCCCGGGTTTGACTTGAGGTGGGCCAGCGAATTTCTCTTGCGATAAATATCGAGGTCGAGGTGGCCGGCGAATTCAAATTTGAGGATGTCTCGAGCGAAACGCAGGGTAGGGGCGCTTCTTCATTCCTCAAGAGAAGCTTCCTCAGCCTTCTCCGAAACCGCAGAAGGCTTCTCGCAAGGCTGGATGTCCTCTGAGGAGCCTCGCCGCCTGTCGGGAAGGCCTGGCCCCTCTCGCCTCCTCCCCCTCCTCCTCCCCCTCCTTCTCCTCCTCCTCCTCCTCCTCCTCCTCCTCCTCCGTCCTCCTCCTCCTCCTCCTCCTCCTCCTTCTTCTCCTTATCCTCCTCCTCCTCCTCCTCCTCCTCCTCCTCCTCCTCCTCCTCCTCCTCCTCCTCCCTCCCTCCCTCCCTCCCTCCCTCCACTCCCTCCCTCACTCCCTCCCTTCCCTCGCACTCCATTCCCCTCCCTCCCCTCCCTCCTCCCTCCTCCTCCTCCCTCCTCCCTCCTCCCTCCTCCTCCCTCCCTCCCTCCCTCCCTCCTCCTCCTCCCATCCTCCCTCCTCCCACCTCCCTCCTGCCCACCTCCTCCTCCCTCCTCCCTCCTCACTCCTCACTCCTCCTCCTCCTCCTCCGCCTCCTCCTCCTCCTCCTCCTCCTCCTCCTCCTCCTCCTACCTCCCCGCTCCCTCCTCCCCCTCCCCTCCTCCCACCTCCCTCCTCCCCACCTCCCTCCTCCCTCCTCCCCTCCTCCCTCCTCCCCTCCCTCCTCCCTCCTCCCTCCTCCCCTCCCTCTCGCGCAGCGCCGAGGAGCACGGTGTCGCAGAACGCAGGGCCCCGTCGACGCAGGGCCGCGCCTCGCTGCGGGTCCGCGTGGCGCGCGCGGTCAAGGATTGCCACGGCCGCGCGCCTGCGCCATCGCGGATGCTCGCTGAGGTCCACTCGAAGCTGTCCGCGTCGGCGCGGCAGGGCGCAGGAGGCACCCCGGCCGCCGTGGCCCACGGGGGCCCCGAGGGGGAGAGGGCTCCGGGGCCCCGGCGACTGCCCGGAAGTCCTGGGAGGCCCCACAGACATTCACACACACACACACCACACACACACACACCACACACACCACACACACACCACACACATAAACATAAACATAAACACATAAACATAAACTTTAGCCGCTCCGCGCGGATTCCAAGAAATCCGCGCGGAGCGCCCAAAGTGTATGTTTCTTTGTGTTTGTGTTCTTCTTCGAATCTTTACCAGCCTCGAACGTATCCCTATCCCTAAGATTGACACGCCAAAAGGCGATGACAGTCTTAGGGATTCGCCCTCAAACAAGAAGGGAATCCCTAAGATTGACATCGTGATGAGGAGGTGCCCAGCATAGGGATAGGGATAGGGATATGTTCCAGGCTGGTAAAATCTGGGCCTCCCGAGTGGGGTCCGACTGGACGCGGTCGGAGGATCGCGCCGCATCGGCAGTGCATCGGAAGTGCGGCTCGATGTGGAGCCCGATCTTCTCCACGCCGACGGCGCCCATGCACCCGCGATGCATCGGCGATGCGGCGCGATCCTCTGGCCCCTTCAGCGCTCGAGGGAAGCGCCTCGGGGCCCAGCCTCCCTTTCCAGCATGACGGAAGCGGGTCCTGAGGGGCACGGGTCCTGGGCCCCCACGGCAGTCCCCGGGGACGAAGGATTGCAAAAAAAACGCCTTCGTCCAGGGTTTTTTTGTAATCCTTTGCAATCCTTCGTTCTTCCGCCCGAATCGTGTTTTTGGTTGGTCCCGGGGCCCTGCGGAGGGCCCCGGGAGCCCGAATGCAGAGGAAGGTGTCACGCCCCGTCTCCCCTCCTCCTGCTCCTCCTCCTCCTCCTCCTCCTCCTCCTCCTCCTTCTCCCCCTCCTCCTCCTCCTCCCCCCCCTCCTCCTCCTCCTCCTCCTCCTCCTCCTCATCCTCCTCCTCCTCCTCCTCCTCCTCCTCCTCCTCCTCCTCCTCCTACCTTGCACTGCGGCCTTTCCCTCAGGGACCCTCTGGTTCATGGCACCATGCTGGCGAAACAGATCGCATGGGGGTCCAGGGTTCATCACCTTGGAGCGACTGCTCGTGAATTCGGTGTGCGTGCTCCGTCATCACCTCTTTGACCCTCCTCTTGCTCCTTCGCCTTCCTTCTTTTTGTCCCGCTTGGCAGCTGGAAGTCCGCGAACGTGGGCCAAAGGGTTCGCGCGTGATTTGTCCTGCCGACGCGCCGATAGGCGGATATTTTTTCAACTGTGCCGTGCCCGGTACTCCTGCTCCCGTCTTGTATTCCTGCTCCCCGCTCCTGCATCTTCGACCCCAATGGCCGCCCAAAGCGGGCCGCAATAGTCTACCCATTGTCTGGTGAAGGTGACCGTATCCATGGCCAATCCAGTCCACGATAGGAGTTCCTGATCCGATGGTTCCTGACCTCATGCCCTCACCGTAGAACCACGACAGGCGCGTGCGCGGAGGGCTCGGCGATCTTCTCGCGGGCGAGCCCTGCAGATCGGAGCGAGGCCCGTGGGGATTCCGGTTTTCGGACGGCTCACTCCCATCCGCCTTCCCGCCACAGAAGTAGCAGTCGAGTCTCAGCATAGGCATGGACCGCCACTGACAACCATCGGGCCGTCTTTAGACCCTCTTGGGGCTGCCTGGGGCCGTCATCGAGGCTTCTTGGGCCCCTCTGGGTCCATCTGGCGGACCCCTGGAGCCTGCCAGAAGCAGGTTCAATTAGGCAGCGGACGTTTTCGTCGGTTCCCAACGAGTGCGGTTTTCCAAGGGAAATTGCGTTTCCCATAATTCACACATAATGCAAAATGAAAAACCAAGCCACTGAGCGGTTTTTCAATGGAAATTGCGTTTTCCAGAATTCGGTTCTCGGACGGTTTCGTCGGCTCCCGAGGTGCCTCGGGCTGCTCCAGCAGCTGCGCCTCGCCGAGAGCAGTTCGGGGGCTGCCCCGCTCGTCCCGATCGGAGGCTAAGGAGGAGGAGGAGGAGGAGGAGGAGGAGGAGGAAGGTAAGGAGGAGGAAGAGGAGGAGGAGGAGGAGGAGGAGGAGGGGAGAGGAGAGGAGAGGAGGAGGAGGAGGAGGAGGAGGAGGAGAGGAGAGGAGGAGGAGGAGGAGGAGGAGGAGGAGGAAGAGGAAGAGGAGAGGAGGAGGAGGAGGAGGAGGAGGAGGAGGAAACAGCTCGGCAGGGGGAAACATCGACTCTGACTCGGCGCTGCATCGCCGACAGGTCGGCGATGGGCCCCCTTCAGGAGGGCAATCAGGGGGGAAAAAACACACACAGACACAATGAGTCGTCCCCTCCCAGGAAGATATTGGAACATGTGGGAAGTGGGGGGGAAGACAAAAACCTAGGAAATAGGGGAAAATGTAGGGAATCCTGTTATTTGTCTGTATTTCTTTGTGTGTCCCAGGGCCCCTTCAGACAAGGGTCGAGGGTGGACAGGATCCCCACCCGGACACGTCGATGAGTGCACTGTCCGTGTTCGGCTCTCGGGAGGGCGCCGCGGCCGTCGTTTTCCAGGCTTGCGCCCGCCAGCTTTGGGCCCGAGGTCGCTTTCACGAAACCGCGTTTTGCTAGAGGGGGTTCCGTCCATCCCCGAGGGGTGCCGCTATAAAACAGGGCTAGGATCGGGATAAATCGCTCCAGAGCGTTCCAGAGCGCTCTCAGAGCGTTCCGGAACGCTCTGGAGCGGCCGCGGCGCCCAATACATCCTCCAAACCCGCCGATTCTCAGAGATTTCGAGTCATCCCGATCCGATTTTGTCCCGATCTTCGCGTCGTTTTACGCTACCGCCACCATGCCCTTTCGTCGCCACGGCGTGGGCCCGCCCCGAAGCTCTGGTCAGGGTTCCAGAAGGGGTTTCGCCTTCGAGGCTCGAAGGTGTTGGCATCTTCGAGGCCTCGCCTTCGAGCCTTCGAGGCTCGAGGCCTCGCCTTCGAGCCAGAAGGGGCCTCGCCTCCTCGACGGAAGGGAGGCCAGCGGAATGCGGCGGGAGTGCAGCGAGGCCACCTCCCCCAGCGGAAGGCTTGCGGGAGCCGGCGGAAGTGCAGATCGTCTCCCCCCAGGAATATGGCAAGGTCTTTGGTCTTTGGGGCGCGTATGTCTTCCATGGGTTCCCTAGGTACTGCGGGTGCCCGGCCTCCTTCCCCGTGCGCGCGGGGGGCGCGCGCGGCGAATCGGGCAGTCGTCAGGGCCTGCGTTTCCCATAATGAACCCTCCTGGCCAGGGACCCACCCATTTGCAGTTGTGAGTACCGCAGTTGTGAGTATCTTTTTCGGTGGTGCCCACGAACCGTATGAGGGGCTTGCCGAAATGTGACGGGTACACAACACGAGCGAAAACGATTGGTCTAATTACGAGAGACTGAGCGCGGGTGAATCTGAGCGCGAGTGAGTCTAAGTGTGAATGAATCTGCGCGCGAGCGAATATATTTGCACGAATGCGATCATGGCTACGCCTCGTGTGAATGTAGATGAATGTGAATGACTCGGGTATGCCTGTCTGTGCACTCGTGACACTGAGCGTGGCCGCCGCAGAAAGCTTCCGCGGGAACCCCGGCGGCAGCGCCCGCACGCCGCGACGCCCATGTCGGCACGCCCCTCACGAGGATCGCGCCTGCTTCCTTCCCTTTTTTGTCCTCCCTCTTTGCCCGCGCACTCCAAGGTCCAAAGCTGCGGGCGCAGCGCGGCGCGGAGTCCCCGCGATGCGCGCCGGTCGCCCAGGAAAGGTCGTCCGCTGCGCGGAGCACAGAGAGCTAGCTAGCTAGCTAGCTGGTTGGCTGATGGCGGGCAAGGCTCTGACCGCTGGGCAGAGCGACGACGGGCGAGCGAGGCGCAGGGAAGAACGCAGCACGGAGTTCCCGCGACGCGCGCTGGTCGCCCCGGGAGGGTCCCCGCGACGCGCGCGGGTCGTCCGCGGCGCGAGGCCAAACAATTGTAGTTGGGCGGTCGAGAGAAGGCGCGGCTCGGGGGGGGGGGGGGGCGCTCCTCAGGTCAGGCCTCGCGGATAAACTCGGCGAAGCCGAGCTCCCTGGCGAGGGCCGTCGCCTCCCTTCTGCACCGCTTCGTGCGCGCCGCAAACTGCTCCAGCTGCTTCCGCAACCCCTCCGGCGGCCCTGCCAAGAAAAACTCGATGCGCGGCGCCCGCATGAACAGGAGGTCCTCGTGACGCGTGGCGCGCGAGAGCAGCGCGTAGAGCTCCAGCCGCCAGTCGTCGTCCTCCTTCTTGCCGTTCCCAACCTCGTGGCGGCCGCAGTCGAGGATCACGCCTGGGCGACGTCGGCCGAGGGAGCAGCGCGCCAGACAGCCGACGGCCCAGGGCGAGAGTCCACAGGACCGAGAGATGGTCCGGCTGCAGACCGCTCGGGAAGCCCGTCCGGGTGACCTTGGAAGTGCGGAAGGTGAACGGCTCCGACGCGCGGGGCTCGACAACGAGAACACCGGAAAGACCCTCGCCGGTGGAGTGGAATCTCCCGCGAATGCAAAGCAACGTACATACGGGGGGGAGCGGGCCTCCTCCTCCTCCTCCTCCTCCTCCTCCTCCGCCTCCTCCTTCTCCCCAGAGGTCTGGAGCTGTTCCCTGAAACCTTGAGTGTGGCGGACGCATGGTGGCGGTGGCGTTGGCGCCTTCGGTGGAGCCCCCAATCGGGCCAGGAAACGTCTGAGGGGTGTGCCGAAATGGGTGTGGGGGACGCATGCAGGCGGTGGCACAGGGGCCTTCGGTGGAGCTCCCTATGGGGCCACGAAGCGTGTGAGGCGCGTGCCGACATGGGTGTGGGGGACGCATGCAGGCGGTGGCACTGGGGCCTTCGGTGGAGCTCCCTGTGGGGCCACGAAACGTGTGAGGCGCGTGCCGAACTGGGTGTGGGGGACGCATGCGGGCGGTGGTACTGGGGCCTTCGGTGGAGCTCCCTATGGGGCCACGAAGCGTGTGAGGGGTGTGCCGAAATCAGTGTGGGGGACGCACGCGGGCGGTGGCACTGGGGCCTTCGGTGGAACTCCCTATGGGGCCACGAAGCGTGTGAGGGGTGTGCCGAAATCGGTGTGGGGGACGCATGCGGGCGGTGGCACTGGGGCCTTCGGTGGAGCTCCCTGTGGGGCCACGAAACGTGTGAGGCGTGTGCCGAAATGGGCGTGGGGGACGCATGCGGGCGGTGGCACTGGGGCCCTCGGTGGAACTCCGTATGGGGCCATGAAACGTGTGAGGGAGGGGTGTGCCGAATTGTGTGTGTGTGTGTTTGTGTGTTTGTGTGTTTGTGTGTTTGTGTGTTTGTGTGTTTGTGTGTTTGTGTGTTTGTTTGTTTGTGTGTCTGTGTGTCTGTGTGTCTGTGTGTCTGTGTGTCTGTGTGTCTGTGTGTCTGTGTGTCTGTGTGTGTGTCTGTGTGTCTGTGTG